TCTAGAAACCTCTAGCCTATAAAAGGGCTTGCTTTGCAAGGGTTTTGGACACAAGTTGGATCAATACAATTTGATTAATGTCGATTCTTCTTATTAAGAGATATTCGAGCCTTTTCACTTGCTTTGGCATGGGTTGTAAGCAATATTGCGTCTCGCCCTAGATTGTTCTACCGACCTATCCATTCGAGTAATCACCTCAGTGGAGTCATCGTTCCAACGCCTATAATGAAATCTTATCGTCCCGCTTGATTCTAGGTTCTGCAATCCAAGCGTTGGACCACCTCGCTAGATCCTTGGGCAAACGTGCAACGTGTCTCGAAACGAGTTGATCAAGGACCGTATCAGTGACGTGTGTATGGATCAGGGCCCACGCAATGAGCTGGTCGGAGTTCCATTGGGCCCAGTCACACGTGTACGAGCCAAGTTCTTCAAGGAATCCCTCCAAGGCCTTGTTCGAATGGTCCAAGACCAACATGGAGTCCATAGGTATATTGAAGGCCAAGAAGGATACAAACAAATCATATACAACTGATCCAATCCCGTGGAGAGTCAAGCGGGCCTCCAAGAGATTGGGCCAGTTTGGGTCTTTAGGCCTTAATGTTGCTTTGGGTTAGACAACTGCGTAATAGAAGCATGGGTCGGCCAATCTAGACACCAAGATGGCCGACTGCTCCTTTAGGGTTTTAGAAACCTCTAGCCTATAAAAGGGCTTGCTTTGCAAGGGTTTTTGGACACAAGTTGGATCAATACAATTTGATTGATGTCTATTCTTCTTGTTAAGAGATATTCGAGCCTTTTCACTTTCTTTGGCAGGGGTTGTAAGCAATATTGCGTCTCGTCCTAGATTGTTCTACCGACCTATCCATTCGAGTAATCACCTCTGTGGAGTCATCGTTCTAACACCTATAATTAAATCTTATCGTCCCGCTTGATTCTAGGTTCCGCGATCCAAGCGTTAGACCACCTCGCTAGATCCTTGGGCAACGTGCTACGTGTCTCGAAACAAGTTGATCGAGGACCGTATCGGTGACGTGTGTGTGGATCAGGGCCCACGCAATGAGCTGGTCCGAGTTCCATTGGGCCCAGTCACACGTGTACGAGCCAAGTTCTTCAAGGAATCCCTCCAAGGCCTTGTTCGAGTGGTCCAAGACCAGTATGGAGTCCATAGGGATATTGAATGCCAAGAAGGATACAAGCAAATCATCTACACCATGATCCAAGCCTATGGAGGGTCAAGCGGGCCTCCAAGTGATTGGGCCGAGTAGGATCTTTAGGCCATAATGTTGCTTAGGGTTGGATTGACTACGTAGTAGAAGCATGGGCCGGCCCGTCTTGATACCAAGATGGCCGACTGCTCTTTTAGTGTTTTTGTAGGGTTTTTGTATCCTCTAGCCTATAAAAGGGCTTGCATTATAAGGGTTTTGGACACAAGTTGGATCAATAAAGTTTGGTTAATTTCGATTCTTCTTGTCAAGAGAGAGTCGAGCCTTTTTACTTGCCTTTGCAAGGGTTGTGAGCAATCTTGCGTCTCGTCCTAGATTGTTCTACCGACGTATCTATTAGAGTAATCACCACTGTGGAGTCGTCGTTCTACCCCCTATAATCAAATCGTGTTGTCCGTTTGATTCTAGGTTCCGCAATCCAAGCGTTGGATCACCTCGCTAGATACTTGAGCAAACGTGCTATGTTTCTCGTAACGAGTTGATCAAGGACCGTATCAGTAATGTGTGCATGGATCATGGCCCACAAAATGATCCGGTCAGAGTTCTATTGGCCTAGTCACACATGCACGAGCCAAGCTCTTAAAGAAATCCCTCCAAGGCCTGGTTCAAACGGTCCAAGACCAACATGGAGTCCATAGGGATATTGAAGGCCAAGAAGGATACAAGCAAATCATCTACACCCTGATCCAATCCCATGGAGAGTCAAGCTGATGTGTGCACGAGCCTCGGCCGCGCAATGACCCAGTCCGAGTCCCACTGGGCCCAGTCACACGTTCACGGGCCAAGCTGTTCAAAGAATCACTCCAAGCCCTGGTGAGAGTCGTCCAAGACCATCATGGAGTTCACAAGGATATTGAGGGCTTAGAGAAAGACCACTGGGCCAATTACACCTTGATCCAAGCCCATGACGACTCAAGTGGGTTTCCAAGAGATTCGGCCGAGTAGGGCCTTAGCCTTTGACACTTATTGGAGTATCTTACTTAGTAGAATGGACCGGCCCACCTTACACTAAGATGGCCGACCACTTAGGGTTTCTTTATTGTTTTCCTTAGCCTATAAATAGGCTAGCTTTGTAAGGTTAAGAACTAGTTTTTGATTAATATAATTCTTAGTGCATTCGTTTTCTTTCATAAAGAATTCGTGACTTTTCACTTGCTTGGCAAGGGTTATTGAGCAATCTCGCGTCCTGTCCTTGATTGTTCATCCGACCTATTCCCCTGGAGTATTCACCTTCATCGGAGTGTCGTCTACCACCTCCAATCGAATCGAGTTGTTCCGTTTGAGTAAAGGTTCCGCAAACCAAGCGTAGGACATCCCCGCTAGATCCTTGGGCAAACGTGCTACGTGTCTCGACCGTGGATCGAGGAACGTATCAGTTGGCTTCAGAGCTTTGGTGGAGGTATCTTCCGTTATATCCGTAGTTGTGTCTTAGTTTTATTATTTCCGCTGCCTTGTGTTTCAAAAAAAAAAAAAAAACTGTTTGTTTGCTTTGTTGCTTTGTTGTGCCGTTTTCGTTCGTTTGTTGTCTAGAAATTCTGGTCGTTGCTTTTATTGATTGAGTTCGTATCCATATCTGTTCGGTTGTGTCTTCAAGTCTGTCCGTTGCTGCTTTGTTAGTCAAAAAAAAAAAACACAAACAAAATCTGTTTGCATCGCTTGTCAAAAAAAAAAAAATTCTGTCTGTTAGTTCTTGTTTTGGTCGCGTCAAATTTCTGGTCAGTCGCACGTAGTGTTGCTAGTTCTAATCTGCCCAGATTTTGTACTCGTGTTGCAACCTTTCTGCCCAGCAAATTAGCCATAGCCGAATCTACACACAAAAAAAAACAAAAAAAAAAGGAAAGAAAGCAAGTTGCGGCTAGGGTTTGCAAGTTGCGGCTAGGGTATTGCCTTGTTGCCTAATCTGCCCAAATCTTAGTAGCTTATCCAAGTTGTTTACTTATCTTGTTTAAACTGATTTGGGGTTACTACTTGTTGGGTTGTGAATCTTGAAGAAATCTACGAGAGTTTTTTTTAGGTTTCTTGAGTTTCTTGAAGTTAATCTTGAAGTTCTTGGAAGTTCTTGACAAACTCTTGGAGTTTCGGGCTGTTGGTTGTAGTAAATTAGGACCTGACCAGAATCAGGTGGTGAATCCTTTCGGCCAAGTGTAGTTCTATTACCAAGTTAAAAGAGAAAAAAAAAAAAAACAGAACCGAAAAGAAAAAAAGAAAAAAAAAAAAGAGCAATCGGGTGGCACAACAAGAAGCAAGGGGAAAACGAATTTTATTCCCAAGACAGTTTTTGTTTACATCGTGCTTGTACCCAAACCAGAAAATTCGAACAGAGGAAAAAAAAAGAAAAAAAAAAAAAAACAAAAACTCAAAAATTTTGGCCAACCTCTTCTTGAAGTTCTTGATCTTGAGCCTTGGAAACTTGAACCACCCTTTGAACAACTTGATCACCTTGAACCTTGAACAATTGCACTTCCCTTCGTATAAAGAGTTTCTTGTAAGATCTTGCATCCATACGTGGCTTTCTTGGTTGGGGAGTAAATTTCTTGGGAGAGTCTTGAGTCACGTTACTTGCGTCACCTTGGGAAGCCATTGAAGCCGAATTGCTTGAGGACCTTGAACCGAATCTGTCTTGTGGAGGGAGGGCCGACTTGTTGTGTTTGAGAGTAGCGAGAGAGCCGAACTTCTTGGGGAAGTGTGCGGCTGCTTAAGAGGTTTCTAGGGTTCCTTGTAGCCGACTTTGGGAAGGGATAAGAGGGAGGAATTCTGGAAAATTTCGGTTGAAGGAGGGAAGAAACCAAGCTGTTTTGAGAAGAATTAGGAAGTTGTTTAAGCGAGGTCTTTAAAGGAAGTTTCCAACTCCAACTTGTTTCCCAACTTAGTTTAGGAGACTAGTACACACTTGGATAACACTTGAACACATCCCTACTTTTTCTCCTCCATTTTTGGGATATTCTCCTACATTTTAGGAATTCTTAGAGTTTCCTTTCTTGGAAAATATTTTTTCCAAATCTGTCCGCCACCCTTAAGCTTTCCAAAACCGTCCTTCCCTTCACCAAAAAAAAAAAAAGAATTCTTGCGTACTCTTGTGGGGATAAGTTGGTGACAATTACTGGACTCGAACAACTTTACTCAACTACCTAAACCCACAGGTAAGGTACTTGGTGAGTTTATAGAGTGACTTGAGCACTACACGAGCGCGAGAGATACACTGAGGGAGCGAGGTGAGGTTACACTTGCACTTCTTTGTTTGTTCCTAACCTTTTGCAGGTCTACAAGAAAGACATGGAGCAACACCAACCAACCACCGATACCTCATTATTATTCGCCGCAATGAAGAATGAGCTCAGGCGAATCAGTGAGCAACAAATGGAGACATTACACACTCGTTTTGACGAGTTGTCCAGGAGCCTTACACGGGGCTCTCGTTCTAGGTCCCATAACCGGAGTAACCATGGCACCAAGGAAACAAATGGCGAAGACTACTCCGCTAGTGAGGATGAGGAACGACCCGAGAGGCCTACAAGGGACATGCCCAAAAACGAAATCAAGGGGCTTAAAATACAAGTTCCCGCATTCAAAGGCAAAAGTGACCCTGAGGCTTACTTGGAGTGGGAAGGCCGCATCGAGATGGTCTTCGACTGCTACGACTATAGCGAGGAACAAAAAGTGAAGGTTGCCACCGTGGAGTTCACCGACTACGCACTCGTCTGGTGGGACCAAGTGAGGACCACGAGGAGGAGGATGGGAGAACCACGTGTCCGGACTTGGCGAGAACTCAAGGCACTAATGCGCAAGCGGTTTGTTCCTAGCTACTACAATCGTGATCTCCACTCTAAGCTGCAAACACTCACGCAAGGCAACATGAGTGTGGAGGATTACCACAAAGAAATCGAGATGACCATGATGAGGGCCAACATTCAAGAAGACAATGAAGCCACAATGGCTAGGTTTCTTAGGGGTCTCAACCCTAACCTTCAGGATGCCTTGGAGCTTCAACATTACTTGGACATGCACGACCTTCTAGAACTCGCCATTAAGGCCGAACGGGGGAAGAAATTAAGACGGGGAGCCCGTACTTTCCAACCTTCCACCACCACCTCATGGAAAGGCAACCAACCACGAAGAGTGACCCACGAAGCTGGAAATGCAACAACATCAAACTATTCTAACCGTTTCCAAGGTAATGCTTCTACCCGTAATGCCTATTCTACACCTAACAAGGTTTCTGATGTGTCCAGGTCTACTTCTAAGGCACCGCAAGAAACTCCTAAAGCTAGGAGTAGGGACATCAAATGCTTTAAGTGCCAAGGGTTTGGGCATATTCAATCTCAATGTCCAAACCAATGGGTAATGCTGATAACTCACAATGGCGAAATCGTGTCGGATGATGACGAATGTGATGACGTGCCCGAACTAGTAGAAGATGACTGCCTGGAAGAAGAGCCAGCTGGGGAGGCTTGCTCGCCTACACGAGGAGAAGTAGGTTGCCTAGTAGCACGACGAGTGCTAACCGCCCGCGTCAAGGAGGATGAGCAGCTACAACGCGAAAACCTATTCTACACCCGCTGTAAGGTAGGAGACAAAAGTCTGTAGTCTCATCATCGACGGTGGAAGTTGCACGAACGTGGGCAGTTTGCTCATGGTTGAAAGTCTAGGACTCACCACTACCAGGCATCCACATCCTTACCGCCTTCCAATGGCTAAGTGAGGATGGTGAAGTACGAGTCTTCAAACAAGTACGCATTCCCTTCTCCATTGGTACCTACATTGATGAAATCGTGTGCGACGTAGTGCCAATGCATGCTACACATATCATCTTGGGAAGGCCTGGCAATTTGACAAACATGTCACATTCGATGGAAGAGCGAATAAGTACACACTTTTACACGATGGCAAACGTAAGGTCCTTACACCTCTCACGCCTGCACAAGTTTATGAGGACCAACTACTTTTGCAAAGAGAGTGTGAACAAGACCGTCAAAGGAGGAAACTCAAGGCGGTCGACCCTGGTCAAGGCTCCACATCTACGAATGAGCCACCCACCAAGGGTCAAGGGAGCACATCTAGGGGTATGCGCGACAAACCACCTGCCGCACCTCCCACTAGGAAGCATAACATGATTATTAAGGCTAAGGATGTTAGAAAAGTGGTGAACTCTAATCAGCCTATACTACTCATGATTTGCAAGCATGTGCTCTTGGATGTTGCTGAACTCGACAAGGCGCTGCTGCGAGCATAGTGGCTCTCTGTTGGCCTAATCAGCAACATTCCTCAGATCCCGGCTCGAAGGGACTAACCGCCCAGCCCGTGACCCAGGGGTGCAGCCCTCATGCTGGCCGAGCGTGGTACGGTGCTTTGCGCTGCCATTGTGGTTAAGGAAATAAAGTTGCGCCTTCGCTAATAGCTATAGCTTTTGTGCAATGGTAAGCGCTTGATCCTGACAAGTGGTATCAGAGCGAGGTCGCGGGTTCGAGTCTCCCTGGCTGTTGCTGGGGGAGGGATTGTTGCCTAATCAGCAACATTCCTCAGATCCCGGCTCGAAGGGACTAACCGCCCAGCCCGTGCACCCAGGGGTGCAGCCCCTCATGCTGGCCGAGCGTGGTACGGTGCTTTGCGCTGCCATTGTGGTTAAGGAAATAAAGTTGCGCCTTCGCTAATAGCTATAGCTTTTGGTGCAATGGTAAGCGCTTGATCCTGACACTCTCTTGCAGGAATTTGAGGATGTTTTCCCTGACGAGGTCCCTGATGGCCTACCACCCATTCGGGGCATTGAACACCAAATCGACTCGTTCCTGGAGCACCGTTACCAACAAACCTGCCTACCGCATGGGCCCCGAGGAGACCAAGGAGCTTCAAAGGCAAGTAGATGGCCTGTTAGGTAAGGGATGGGTGAAGGAGAGTCTAAGTCCCTGCGCTGTGCCTGTGGTCCTTGTCCCCAAAAAGGATGGCACTTGGCGCATGTGCACTGACTGCCGGGCTGTAATGCTATCACTGTCAAATATCGGCATCCCATTCCTAGACTTGATGATATGTTGGATGAACTCGATGGTGCTATTATTTTCACCAAGATTGACTTGAGGAGTGGCTATCATCAAATTAGGATGAAGGAAGGAGACGAATGGAAGACAGCCTTCAAAACCAAACATGGTCTCTATGAGTGGTTAGTTATGCCTTTTGGCTTGACTAACGCCCCTAGCACCTTCATGCGCTCATGAACCATGTTTTGAGACATTTTATTGGTAAATTTGTCATTGTTTACTTTGATGACATTCTGATCTATAGTCGCAGTGAGCATGAGCACCTGGAGCATGTAAGATTAGTCCTCGAGGCACTTCGACAGGCGCGTCTGTACGCTAACCTCAAAAAGTGCACCTTTTGTACTAACGAGCTTGTGTTTCTAGGCTATGTTGTGAGTTCGCAGGGCATCAAGGTGGACAAGTCCAAGATCGAGGGCCATCGAGCAATGGCCAACCCCTACATCCGTTCCTGACGTGCGCAGCTTTCTTGGATTGGCGGGCTTTTATCGGCGTTTTGTCCAAAACTTTAGCACTATTGCCGCCCCATTGACCGCCGTGACAAAGAAGGATGACAAGTTCCACTGGGGGGAATCCCAAGAACAAGCGTTCCTCGCCCTTAAGGACACACTCACCCATGCACCTGTGTTAGCATTACCAAACTTTACCAAGACCTTTGAAATTGACTGTGATGCTTCTGGTGTAGGTATTGGAGCAGTCCTCATGCAAGACAAGAGGCCGTGTGCCTTCTTCAGCGAGAAACTGGGAGGGGCTGCGTTAAACTACCCCACGTACGACAAGGAGTTGTACGCACTAGTGAGGGCCTTGGAGACTTGGCAACACTATCTTCGCCCTCGGGAGTTCGTGATACACACTGATCACGAGTCATTGAAGTACCTCAAGGGACAGCCCAAGCTAAGCAAGCGACATGCCAAATGGGTAAGCTTCATTGACACCTTTTCGTATGTCATTAAGTATAAGACTGGCAAAACGAATGTAGTGGCTGATGCATTATCACGTAGACATTCATTGTTGGCACTTCTGGATGCCAAGTTACTAGGGTTCGAAATGGTTAAGGAACTCTATACACATGATCATGACTTTGGTGATATCTATGCTGCTTGTGTTAAGAACCCGCATGGAAAGTACTTTTTGCATGATGGATTTCTATTCCATGTAGATAAACTGTGTGTGCCTAATTCTTCCATTCGTGACCTTTTGATCCGAGAGGCACATAGTGGTGGTCTCATGGGCCACTTTGGCATCGCCAAGACTCTGGCCATGTTGCAAGAGCACTTTTACTGGCCCCATATGCGAAGAGATGTTGAACGCATGGTTGGTAGGTGTGCTACTTGCCACAAGGCAAAGTCTAAGACAAATCCATATGGCTTGTATACCCATTACCTATTCCACACCATCCCTGGGTTGACTTGTCTATGGACTTTGTATTAGGATTGCCTAGATCACCAAGGGTAACGACTCCATCTATGTTGTGGTTGATAGATTTTCTAAGATGGCGCATTTTATTCCTTGTCACAAAACTGACGATGCATCTCATGTTGCTACTTTATTTTTCAAAGAGATTGTCCGTCTGCATGGCATGCCTAGGACTATTGTTAGTGACAGGGATGTGAAGTTCCTAAGTTACTTTTGGAAGACCTTGTGGTCCAAACTTGGCACTAGGTTATTGTTTTCCACCTAGTCATCCTCAAAGCGATGGACAAACTGAAGTTGTCAATCGCACTCTTGGCACTTTACTTCGGGCCTTGATTAAGAAGAATCTTAAGTCTTGGGAAGAGTGCTTACCTCATGTTGAATTTGCCTACAATCGCACTGTGCATAGTGCAACTCAATATTCTCCCTTTGAGATTGTTTATGGCTTCAACCCCTCACCCCCTTGATCTGGTGCCCTTACCTTCCTCTGAGCAAGCAAGCTTAGATGGGGAAAAGAAAGCTGGTTTTGTACGCAGGTTACATGAAGCTGTGCGAGCAAACATCGAGAAGCGCACGCAGCAATACATCCACCAAGCCAACAAGCACCGCGCAAGATGATTTTTGAGCCTGGAGATTGGGTGTGGCTACACTTAAGAAAAGAGCGTTTCCCCAAGCAACGTCAAAGCAAATTGTCCCAAGAGGTGATGGACCATTTCGGGTACTCCAACGGGTTAATGACAATGCCTACAAATTGGAGCTGCCTGGGGAATACAATGTCAGTGCAACCTTCAACGTTGGGGACCTCAGCCCATTCCTTGACGAGCAGGA